TAGGAATCTGCGTAGAGCCAGATCCCAGAAATCGGACCCTTAATGGGTTCCAGTTTACGCAAGACTTAATGCAAGACAAAGTCTTGCATACAAATCGCAGCAGCGGGTAAAAACAGAGCAGGAACACTACTACTACTGCTACTACTATTTATGTATATAAATATACCTGGGATCCACCACCTTTAGCATGGTCCGTCGAACGATGGTGGAAGGCAAAGGCTTCCAAATTTCATGTGCCTGCAACATGTAGTCATGATGAGTTTCTGGCTCCAGCTTTGTCACAGAAAGGCTTGCCTTCTCGTCTAGAACTTCCAGAGAAAGGCTTCGCCTTCTCGTAATGGAAGCTCCACCGCACTCACACGTGCTGCGCCGCATGTCGGAACATATCGAGGAGGACGACTTGGAGACGCAAAGCATGATGGAGGACCCGGAGCCTGAGCAGTTGGAAAATCAGGTGTACTGGCTCCAGCTGCGGATACAAACACTGGAAGCCACGATCAAGAAGGAGCGCGAGGAGAAGAAAGAACTTCAAAAGCTTGTGGACGGGCTTAAGTGCACGGTGCGTGCATTGTATGACGCAGTGCAGGATGTGACAAAGATGAGTGATGATTTTGGTGCCATCCTGAAGCGGTGGGACCGGCAAGAGCCATGAGCCGTGAGCTGGACAGGGAAGCCTTGGACACTGTAGCCTCTGTCGACAGGCATGTGGTTATGCTGAAAAATGCAAAGCGCAACCGGTTGCACTATGTATTTTGCTACGAAATCAATAGCTTAGAGACACATTGACTTTTCCCAGGTACTACTACTACTACTACTACGCATAAACTATAACTTCGTGCTGCTTGTCAGGAAGCCACAGCATGGTGTGATGCAACCGTTGGCTCAAAGTCAGGTTTTGCTCTCGCTGCATGAGGGCATCGCCTCATCAGCCGTGGATCGGTGCTCCATCCAGTCTGGGAAACAAACAAGCTTACCTGTTTCTGTGCATGGAAGAACTCGATGCACAACCTGCTGCACTTTGGGTTCTGGGCATCAGTCGGAGTTGGATTCTAATCTGTAGCTCAGCATGCCTAGCTAAAGCATTGTTGCAGGCTTTGGCCTACCATCTCTCCTTCGGGGTTTCCGATTTGGCCATCACAAAAAGAGGCATCGTACCAACGCAATCCCAAAGCCAATGCAGCTGTAGAAAATCTTTGCTGCCATGGCTGGCTGGAAATGCAAAAGCTGCCCTCGACTAACTTATCGCCGACCCCCAGCTAATGTCTGCAAGAAATGCGATCCGGGCAACAGAATCGGCAAGCACAACCGGAAGGTGCCTCATTTCAGGCTCCGGAAGAAGACTTCTGTGCAGATGACCCATCTCTTCCGGTGGCAAGCAATGCCAGTACAGTCTTCTGCTGCTGCTGCTGATTATCAGTTTTTTTTCCAGGCTTTGGCGGGGGAGCTCGATGTTTTGAAGGCTATGGCTGCAAGGACAGGGCTCAAGATGTCCGTGGTTCACGGTGTTCTGGCTGTGGCTTATGCTTGGCTGGAGAAGATCGAGGGATGCAGGGTTCCACTCCCATCCTCAATGAGAATATGTGGCTTGATTTCTTTCGCCATTGCCAATGAAGCACAGTGCGATCCGGATGTCGTGAGACCAGCCTATCGCAAACACAAGAGCATTGCTGTGAAAGAGATGAGGAGCTGCGAAAGCCGTTGGGTAAATGTCATTGGTAACCTATAGATGCCCAATGAAGTCTTCAGATCCCGCACTGCAGGACCAAGGGCAGGAGGACCAAGGGCCGGAAGAGCCCGCAAGCCCAGCAGCTGCTCTGCAGGACCAAGGCCTGCAGCACCAAGGACCGCAAGAGCTTTTCCTCAACGAGCTGGACTGAGCAGGCTACGGGTTTGCAAGGCTCTGCCTGCAGTAGTTTGGCATGCTGCAAGGCTTCGCCTGCAGCATGCCCGGAATAGGAGTCTGCGTAGAGCCAGATCCCAGAAATCGGACCCTTAATGGGTTCCAGTTAATGCAAGACAAAGTCTTGCATACAAATCGCGGCAACACTGCAGAAACTAGTTTCGCAGTTGATTGTTGAAGCCTTGGACACTGTAGCCTCTGTAGACAGGCATGTGCTTATGCTGAAAAAATGCAAAGCGCAACCGGTTGCACTATGTATTTTGCTACGAAATCAATAGCTTAGAGACACATTGACTTGTCCCAGCTAATTTGTTGCTTCTGCTGCTACTACTGCTACTTCTACTTCTAGTACTATACTATTACTGCTAGTACTACTGCCTCTGTAGACAGGCATGTGGTTATGCTGAAAAAATGCAAAACGCAACCGGTTGCACTATGTATTTTGCTACGAAATCAATAGCTTAGAGACACATTGACTTTTCCCAGGTACTACTACTACTACTACTACTACTACGCATAAACTATAACTTCGTGCTGCTTGTCAGGAAGCCACAGCATGGTGTGATGCAACCGTTGGCTCAAAGTCAGGTTTTGCTCTCGCTGCATGAAGGCATCGCCTCATCAGCCGTGGATCGGTGCTCCATCCATGGCCGAAAAGCATGTGCGAGACATGCTGGACTTTGTGGCGATGCTCCGGAAATCGCCTGGCATGGACGAGGGCCGTGCAGAGAAGATGGAAAAGAAACTGCTGCAGCAGCTGGAGGAGCTGCCTGGAGCAGTGAGCTTTCAAGAAGCCACACGTGCCATGGAGAAGGTGTCCGCGGCAGATGTGCCGGATGGCTTTAAGCAGGACATCGTGCGATGTTTGGAGGAAAAAATCGAGGCGACGGGTTCCGCCGAGAGTTCCGCCACCACGCGGGAGCTCAAGGGCAACCAAAAGATGCAACAGCATCGTTTTTTCTACAACTTCCTGCTGCAAGCGGAGTGGGATGCCATCATGAACCCGAGAGCCTCCGCGAGGAGCAAGCAAAGGGTGGTGGCCAACAGGCTACAGCTCCTGGGCTTGGTGTATCCGAGGGAGGCAATCTTCAAGCAGGCCACTGCCATCTTGCTGCTTGGCAGCCACGATGGTGCTCCGGAGCATCTGAATGTGAATTTTGTTACGGCCTTAGACCTGCTGCAGGAGCTGAAGGACCTGTGCAGGTCTTCGTTCGACAAGTCCAAGTTCAGTGGGCTCAAGGACTACCAGGAGAGTGCGAGAGATCTCCCGAGTGATCTCTTCAGGGCGGCCTACGGGGAACAAGCGCCGGCAGCTTGTCCCATGGACTTGCCGGCCTTGCACGGGCTTACCAAAGCCCTTGCTGCGAGGAGCACGCACAACAGTGTGCAGCAAAAGGGCTTTGGGCAGCAGCTCGGCAAAAAGGACAGGTGCCTTCAGGAGAACATGCACGGTGCCCTGTTAGGGCACCTTGGCAACCTCTTGATGAATGCCATGGAAGGGAACGGCGTCCCTGGCCTGCGAAATTTCGCTATGACGAAGAAGCGGAAGATGTTGGAGGACGGAGAAGCCTCCGTGCCGCTTGAGCTCCAGCTCCCAAGCAAGCAGCTGGCTTTGAAAGACAAGGACAAGGTGGCGGAGAAGGACGAGGAACAGCAAGCAGAGGACTTGGAGGAGAACGAAGAGGCTTCGCCCTTGAAAACGCCTGCCGAGCCTAAGGCCCGGCGCAGTGTCGACGAGATGGTCTCCAAACTCCAGGACCAGCTCGCGGCCAACAAGGGAAATCCAAGCAGCACACCTGCCAAAGCAAAGGCTGAAAAGGAGTCCGAGACGACTCCTTCGCCCAAGCCGTCGAAGCCGGCGAAGGGCACACCTGCCAAAACAAAGCCTGCCGGAGGAGGCAGCTGCAGCTGCAGCCCATGGGAAAGGCAAAGGCAAGGGCAAGGGGAAGAAGGTGCTGACAGCTTTGCCCAAGTACCCGGGCACGGCAAAGAAGCCGCCGGTGTGGTTGCAGACCTGCAAGATCTACACGGATACGACCACGAATGCGTGGAGGGTCCAGATCTGGGGCGACAAGAAGGACAAATCGTTCAAGTTTTCGGACAACCCAAAAGCTTCTTGGCAGCGGCTCAGCGCCTACGTGAGCGAGCTCTAGATGTCAGTGGCCTCGCCCTGCATCTTGCATGTAGGTCTACCGGCGGCCTCGCCCTCTGCGTGCGCTTCCGCATTTGGCAGTGGCTTCGCCCGGCAGTCTTTAAAGAGCATGTGCGACGGGGAACCGCACGCAGAAGAAAAAAGATTGTAGAACGGAGTTGGTTTAACCCCCAGCCCTAAATGCATGTTCAACCCTGTACATAATCTGTTACAGGCTTTCCCTGCGTGGCCGTTTGTCATACAATATAATTTGAATGCTGGCAGATTTTGGCATTCTGAACACTGTTTTTTTCACCTCTACATGATTTTTTGGACCGCCGCAGTACCTCAAAATGCTTTGCTCGTGATGAATTTTTGCACCCCTCATGATCGCAAAATGGTGCTCGCGAAACGCATTTTCTGACCACCTATATACCTCAAAATGGTTTTCTCGTGACGAGTTTTTGCGACCCTCATGATCCCAAAATGGTGCTCACCAAACCCATTTTCTGACCGCCTATATACCTCAAAATGATCTTCTCGTGACGAGTTTTTGCACCCCTCATGATCGCAAAATGGTGCTCGCTAAACCCCGAAATGTGTGCTCGCTAAATCACCAATTTCGGAGTTATAAGTCACTTATAAGTCCGACTTATAAGTCCACCAAAACTCCACTTATAAGTCCGAGATAACTCGACTTAACAAGTCCAGTATATCTCGAGTTATAACTGACCAAAGCAAAAACCCGCCAAAGCCTGCAAGTTCAAGTGTGTATTGCGTCTAGCACCACCAGTCCTGTGCGTGCGTCTGGAGCCAGTTGTCTTGCAGAAGTTGCAGTCCTTTGGCACGCTGCATTTGGCACTTTAATGATGTCTTTGAACGTGCGCCCATGGGGCGGTTTGGCCGGAGTGGCAGTGCATGCGAGCCGGTTGGGCAACAGCTGTGCAAGAGATAGGGACTGTGTGAGCCATGGCTTCATACACGGAGTCGGAGCCGGTGTTCACCAACCGATGTGAGACCGTTGGCCTAGGCGGTGAGGCCCTGACCAAATTGAAGGCTGCCGGAATCAATACCCTTGCTAAGGTGGCATTCGTTTCGTCTTACGCGCCAGGCGCTGCGTCAGATTCCGAGCTCAGAAGCACTTGGGAAGGAGAGTGATGCAGGCCAGAAAGCATCCTGGCGCAGGCTATTCCATGAAGCTTATGCCGTGGCTACTCAAGAGCTTAAGACGATGGCCGAGCGGCCAGATGAGCCAGGGCCAAGGCGTCTGTCACAGCCAGAGAGAGCGGAGAGGTACCGAATGATCAAGGCATCTGTTTCAGGGATCGATATCAAGGATCGGAACGAGCCGAGCGATGCATTGCTGGACTTGTGTGTGGGCATCTACGAAGGGAATCGCTTTCGCTATGTTTCTTGGGATCGTTGCACATCCAAGTCCCAGGAGCTCTCGAGTGAGGCGAAGCGTGACAGCATGCTCACTGTGGATTCCCAGGGGCGCTTGAAGGCTGAAGCTAAGAGCGATCACATTAAAGCTGACACGAGTTCGGAGATTTTGTTGCAGTTCGCACTCTTGCGAAGAGGTCTTGCATTGGAAATGTCGAACTTGCTCGACTTTCGTTTGCATCGCAGGTGGGCCGAAAAATTGATAGAGACAAGGATGGCCGCCCAACTCGACACGCATTCGCAAGTGTCTTTCGCCCAATTGGAGGCGTCGGACCAGAAGTTCTTCCAGGAATTAGCGGACAGGACTCGCGATGGAGTCCAGGCCACCGCCCTCGGTCGCCCGTTGGACGACTGCTTCGACGAAGTTTTCAATTTGCCAGAGGTCACGCATGTGATGCAGCCGCTGCCTAAGCCTAGCGGTCGTGTGGAGCCACCTCCGAAGCCGCGCTGGAGCCCGTATGATCGTCCCTCAAAGGGTGGTCGGAAAGGCAAGAGCCCAGGCACAGGTAAAAGCACGCCAAGGATGCCCAGGGAGCTTGTTGGCTGCAAGGCATGCACCAATCGGGGCGACCCAATCTGTTTTGGGTATGGCTTGAAAACTTGCTCTGAGCAAGTGAAGGGCGGTCGCTGCCCAAAGGGGCTGCACGTATGCGCCGTCCCGAAGTGCGGGGGCGCGCATCCAGCACTTGACTGCCCACAGTATGCGGCCCTGAAGAAGGCCGGGTCTTGACACCAGGTGGGTCAAGATGAGATGGCGGCGATGCCATCAGTGAAGGGAAGTGGGCAGCTCGGAGTGGGCTCGCCCAAGCGAGCGCGGTCAAGGGACCGTGCTACCGCACAAGCTGTTGATTCGGCCGAGGGGTCGGATTCTGAATCCTCAATTTTCGCTGCTGAGCAAGTAGCTGCAGAGCCTATACTTTGTAAAGATCCTGAGCAATTTTCTGCTGCCGCATCACTTAAGAAGCCTTTAGATCTCAGAGATGTCGTGACCTTGTGTGATTTGCTGGAGAGTGAAATCCCGGCAAGAGGGAACAATTCTGATGACGAGTTCAGCTGGAGCACAGGGGCGTATGTGCATGGAGGTGTTCACGGATGCCGACAACATATGCATCAGTTCCCAGTGACCTCCGCATTCCTTGCGAAGGTCTTCAAGGAATACCACCCGAGGCTTCCAGTGACATCATTGTCTTTGACTCGCAATGTGCGAACAGCCTTGCATCTGGATGCAAACAATGCATTGTGCTATCTGAACGGCTTGATTAAGGTTTCGGGGTTTAGGGGAGGGGGTTTGTGGGTCCAGGACGCAAGCGGGGACACCGTGTGCCCCACCGATCCTTCTCTTCTGGGCTCACACCTCGACTTCAGAGACTCCACTCTTGCCTTTGATCCGCATAAGAAGCACCTTACATTGCCTTGGACGCAGGGCCCACGTATCGTTCTAATCGGTTTTGTGGTCAAAGCCACCGCTGAGATTCCAGATCAAGATGCCGAGATGCTGCTTCGAGCCGGTTTCAATTTGCCATGTCAAGATACAGCGACTTCTCTGTGTCAGCTTGGATCGCATAGTACCTTCTCTGGACTGTCTTCAAGATCCTTAGTCCCGAAGGCAAAGAGCTCCCGCGGAGCTCCTCTTGCGATCCAACTTTGCGCCGGGTCAGGCCTTCTGTCAGCTTCCGTCAAAGCTGCAAACATAGACACTTTGGCGGTTGATTTTCACGGGAATCGATCTAGGCCTTATGTGCATGTTGTCGGCCTCGATCTTACGTTGCCAGCCTCTTGGGAGTACTTGACGACCGTTCTTGAAACCAGACAAGTTGTTCATGTACATGTGACTCCCCCAGCTGGGACCACGCGACGATCGCGTGCAAAGCAGTCGCTTCGAAGTGCTTCCCACCCGTGGGGTGTGCCAGGTCAGGATTCGTCTGTGTTGGCTCGTCTCCAGTCGGCCAACCGCATCTTTATTCAGCTGGGAGCCTTTTTGCTTCGGGCTCGGGAACTTGGGGTGGCGTTCTCGCTTATGCACCCCATGTCCTCTTGGCTTTGGGAGCTGCCTCCCTTCGCCGACCTGCTCAAGGTCTCTTCTGAGGTACCAGTGTATCTGATGTCTGACTTGCACAGGCTCCAGCATTTTCGCTTAGTGTACACCTTGTGTGACCTGTCATCGCTTGCCGCGGCTGACAGAACCGATGCCATGACGCAGAAACTCTTCTGTGATCGTTTTGCTGCTGCCTTGTCCACTCAGGTTGCTGCCTCGGGTTTAGGCCCCTCCCCTCTTAGGCTCCCCGAGGTCCGTGCTGCGGCGCAAAACCAACCGAAGGCATCCAAGCTGCCACCGCTTGTGCCAGAGTTTGCCTACACGCAACGTTTGACGTGTGAAGGCCCTCCACCTTTGGATGCCAAGAAGCAGCTCACGCATCCGTGGAATGGCGTTCCCAAACATGCCCGCCTCCTGCGCTCTTCCACTTCCGAAGGGGGGGCGACTGAGGAATCCGCGCAGCAAGCGACCAACATCTCTTCGCAGAAGCCTCGCCATACTGAGTATGTGTTCGGTGTGTATCGCGAGCCGGTGCAATTTGTGTATCAGGCTGTCGCACTTCAGCATCCGTTTGATGCCGCCAGAGCTCTTCCGGATAAGCTTGTTCGTGTGCTCTTTGCCACGTTGACCAAAGGTCCCTTATGCATCATGCGAAACAGGTTACTCCTGCTGCAAAAGTGGAATCAGTGGGCAAAGGACCTTCGCTCAGATGAGGCCTCTCTCCAGGCCTCCCTGCATCCTTCGGTCCGCAAGGTTCTTCAGGGAAAGAAGCTGCTCCTTCTTGACAAGATTGCAAGATCACTTGACTGGCCCGACAAACACCTGCATCGTGACCTGTGTGCAGGGTTCAAGTTGTCAGGTGTTCCTGATCCTACAGGTGTTTTTGAGCCGGACCACAAGCCTGCCTTGTCTTCAGAGGAGCAATTCTGGGACGCTGCCGAAGTTTTGAAGCATCAGCTTTGGGCACGGGTGAGGGAGCAGCCGGCTCAGGAGTACGACGCGGAGCTGGCCGAAATCACACTGGGCGAAACCGATGTATCTGGAGGAAAAGGATGGCTCGAGGGTCCTTTGTCATTCTCTGAGCTCCAGGATCGCTTTAAAGGCCAGTGGATGCCGTGCCGAAGGTTCGCTGTATGGCAAAACAAGTGGAGGCCCATCGATGATCTTAGCGAGTCGGGGCTCAATGCAACATTTGGCTGCCATGAGAAGATTCCGCTTAGGGCTTTGGACGAGGTGGTCTGGATTTGCACAAAGATAATGCAGGCTGCCTCTGCTAGGGGCGATGTCACGTTGCAACTGAGCTCGGGCGAATCCTTGAAAGGCAAGCTGCATGAACATTGGGCCGACAAGGAGAAGATCAGACCTGTCACTACAACATTTGATCTTAAATCCGCTTACAAACAGCTTCCTCTTGCACCGGAGGAGCAAAGTAAGGCGATAGTCACCATTCGACATCCGTCGCAGACCGAGCCGTCCGGCTACATATGCCACACTCTTCCTTTCGGAGCCTGTGGATCTGTTCTTCACTTCAACAGAGTCTCGGCTCTGCTGAGAAGGATTATGCTTGAGATGGAGATCTTGACGGCGCTCTACTATGACGACTATCCAGTAGTGTCGCCATGCCTCCTTGGCAACAGCACGGCAGCAGCCTTCACTTCAGTAATGCGCCTTTTGGGGTTTAGGATTGCTGATGATAAGGATAAGCCTTTTTCGACGCGCTCGGAAACTTTGGGAGTTGTCATAGACACGTCGGCTGAAGATATGTCGGGCGTGTCTGTGTGCAACAAACCTTCGAGGTCGCAGGCCATCGCCGTTGCCATTGAGGAGATTATCACCAGAGGGCACGTTGCACCTCGTGAGTTGCCTTCTTTGTTCGGCAGACTTCAGTTCGCCGAGGCACAGATCCTTGGCAGGATGGGCAGGTTGGCAATTCACGATCTCAGAAGCCTTGAGAGGTCTTCTGCTGCGCGCGTCAACCTCACAGCTCAGCATCTTGAAGCTTTGTTGCTCTTGAAGGAGCGCGTTGTGTCCGGAGCTCCGAGAAATGTGTCCGCTTCAGTTGCGACCAGTCCTATCGTGATCTTCACTGACGGCTGCTTCGAGCCGGATGCTGCGAACCCCGCTGGGGTGGGGGGTGTAATGTTCGCTCCTTCGTCTGGTGGAGGCTTGAAGGTAAGGGCCTTTGGCTCGCTTGTTCCAAAGACGCTGCTTGAAGCATGGCACGCCAGGGGCAAGCGACACCTCATAGGCCAGGTTGAGATGTTCGCTGTCATCATTGCCAGGTCGTGGTGGGCAAACGTCCTGGACGGTGCCAGGGTCATTTATTTCGTGGATCACAGCGGTGTGCTTGCCGCCTGCATAAGCGGATCCTCCAAAGAGGATACATGGAGAAAGCTTTTGTGCGCATTCGAGAAAGCTGATTCGCTGCCTGCCATGCAGTGGTTCAGCCGTGTTCCCTCACACTCGAATATCTCTGATGGACCGTCGAGAGGTCGCTGGGAGGGCCTTTTGAGAGCTTTCCCGGAGTGCGTGATTGATGATCCTTGTTGCCCTTTGACAGGGACAATGCTTCAGCGCTTCGTTTAGGAGCACTCTTGTCAAGCGGGGCGAGCGGAGTGCTCTCGAAGCGATGTGCTTCTTTCTTGTGGCGATGTGCCACGTGGTGCGTGCGGCATGCACTTGGAAACCCCGTTTGATGCTTTCGAGCGAAAAGGTCGTGAGTGTGCGTATGCCATAAAATATTGGATTGATTCTTTATTTGAGTCATTTATAGAACGTCCCTAAGAGGACGACTAGATATTCGACATTTGTAAATCCAAATCAGCTTGAGCCGCAAATCGTAAGCTTCTATACTCATGCTCGCATGATTTCGCTTTACGATTTGTAGGCGCTTGAGGTTTTTCTGGAAGTGCAGAAAAACTGCTGATTTTGGATTTCCGGCATTACTTGAAAGATGTTTCACGTTTCACATGCCGCACGCTGTTTGAACCATGTTATGTTGCAAAGTCTTGGCTCAGAGTGGAGCTCAAGACTGAGAATTTTTGTTTTCCCACCCACCCAACCCTGGGGGGCGAGCAGAGTGCTCTCGAAGCGATGTGCTTCTTTCTTGTGGCGATGTGCCACGTGGTGCGCGCGGCATGCACTTGGAAACCCCGTTTGATGCTTTCGAGCGAAAAGGTCGTGAGTGTGCGTATGCCATAAAATATTGGATTGATTCTTTATTTGAGTCATTTATAGAACGTCCCTAAGAGGACGACTAGATATTCGACATTTGTAAATCTAAATCAGCTTGAGCCGCAAATCGTAATATGTATGTATGAAATCCCCTCATCCGTTTAATAAAACGACGATCCATCGCTGGCCGCGAAGGTGCAAAACAAAACAAGCGAGCTCTGGATCTGCCTGCACAGGGAGTGAAGCTGACACGTGGGAGAGAGAGAAAGTGATCGAGACTGTAGAGGGCAACCACATCATTACCCAACATAGCTCGGTGGGGTGAGCGACAAGGAACATCATCAAGATCAAATCCCCACGCAAGTAGTAGTTGCAGTAGTTGTAGTAGTAGCAGCAGTAGCAGTAGTGGTAAGTATAGCACGACATCAAGGGAGCTGGTGCTCGCCTCTTCGAGCATATCAGTCATAGGGTCAATCGAGTCAGTTTCACACCAAGTGCGTGCACCGCGGCAATCGCCCGCAATGTGCTGAGCCCGGTCGCACAGCGTTCAATTGAAATAGTAGTAGTAGTAGTAGTAGTAGTAGTAGTAGTAGTAGTAGTAGTAGTAGTAGTAGTAGTTAGTAGTAGTAGTAGTAGTAGTAGTAGTAGTAGTAGTAGTAGTAGTAGTAGTAGTAGTAGTAGTAGTAGTAGTAGTAGTAGTAGTAGTAGTAGTAGTAGTAGTAGTAGTAGTAGTAGTAGTAGTAGTAGTAGTAGTAGTAGTAGTAGTTAGTAGTAGTAGTAGTAGTAGTAGTAGTAGTAGTAGTAGTAGTAGTAGTAGTAGTAGTAGTAGTAGTAGGGCCTGTAATCACTCACCTGGCATGTCTACATCTACATACCACAGACATGCGTCGGGCCGGGACGCAGCGCATGTCACCTTGCCGCCGGAGCTGCGCCGTCGAGTCGACGCTATCGCCGAACTCGTGCCTGCCGTTTTATCACAGCAGGGCAGCTACGTAGTCAACGGGCTCAGTTCATGTTGACCATACTAGCAGATCAATGTATAACACAGATGAGGAAATGCTGTGCCATCTGTGCCACAAGCAGGACCTCGCACGACACGAATCAGCATACACGCAGAGACAAAGCTCCAAGCTACAGCCAGCCAAAGCGCAAGCATTCTCTCAGTTGTAGGTCTGCCAGCCTTCGTCATGGTGAAGCGAGCCGCGAAATGCATGCTGTGCAGCAAAACGCGCGCTCTGCGCGAAGTCAAGAAGGAAAGCCTGCTGGAGGCTGCGAAGGCAGCTGCGAAGAAGCCACTTCCGAGGCGGTGGGGGTCGACCTCGTTTGCATCGGGTCTGCACGTTAATTACCTGTTAGCTTACGTTGGAGTCAGGACAACAGCTTCTTGCTGACAAGTTTGACTTTGCATTTTTGCTCTCTTGACAGGACTGTCAAGTTGTGCGAAACTTGTGCGACGAAGCTCTCCCACGCCTTCACGGCCAAGCGCAAGGCCATGGGTGACGGCGATGTTTGATCTTGCCTCCGTGTTCTACTGTGAAAGGCCGCGGCGAGGGAGGTCTCTGCAGAGGCCGCCTATCAGGACTCTTTGCAGGGTTTAGGGGTCTTGGTTCATGGGTTCTTGTTGGAGGAGGTGTCATGTCCTTGGCATAATTCTGTCGTTTCTCAGGATCATCCTGGAAGACAGTGACGGGGATGTTTGATCTTGGCTCCTTGTTCAGAGGGTTTTGGGGTTTTAGTTCATGGGTTCCTGCTGGTGGAGGTGTCATGTGGAGTCGGGGTTGGCTTACTGTGAAGGCAGAAGCGTCAACATGAAACGATGACGGTCTAATCGCAGTCGAAAACACATCAGCAGCAGCGCTTGTAACCTTACCACATTTACCATTTGCTTCGTCCATCCCGGGTTGGGCAGCCATACAGCGGTGACTTCTCATGTTGCAATCACGCAGATCTGCCCAACTCACTGCAGTTGATTCTACTGCTAAAAGCACCCCATCCAAGCGCAGCACATGGCTTACGTCGTGCATGAAGCGCTCCGGCTCTTCTTTTCCGCGCTCCAGCTCAGAGGAACTTGCCCAGCGTCGGGTCTTCGTGGAAGACAGTAACGACGATGTTTGATCTTGCCCCCCTGTTCTACTGCGAAAGGTCGCGGCGATGGAGGTCTCGACAGAGGCCGCCCATCAGGACTCTTTGCAGGGTTTAGGGTCTTGGTTCATGGGTTCCTGCTGGAGGAGGTGTCATGTCCTTGGCATAATTCTGTCATTTCTCCGGATCATCGTGGAAGACAGTGACGGGGATGTTTGATCTTGGCTCCTTGTTCAGAGGGTTTTGGGGTCTTGGTTCATGGGTTCTGGTGGAGGAGGTGTCATGTGGAGTCGGGGTTGGCTTATTGTGAAGTGAAGGTAGAAGCGTCAACATGAAACGATGACGGTCTAATCGCAGTCGAAAACACATCAGCAGCAGCGATTGTAACTTTACCACATTTACCATTTGCTTCGTCCATGTCGGGTTGGGCAGACATGCAGCTGCGAGTTCTCATGTTGCAATCACGCAGACCTGCCCAACTAACTGCAGCTGATTCTACTGCTAAGAAAGGGCAGCGCATGGCCTACGTGGTGCATGAAGCGCTCTTGCTCTTCTTTTCCATGCTTCAGCTCAGAGGAACTTGCCCGGCGTCGGGAGGAGGTGCTCGCCAGCTTGGGCAGCTGGTGCCAAGCACTCAAGGCTGGGTTAAGGTAACGATAATTATAATTACACCCCAATTAAGGTACTTATAACCTTATACTTTATAAGTCCCATGATCCTCCTAGGGTTCTCAGGTTGTTCAAAATTTTTTTAGAGGTCAACAGCGCCATATGGATTTCGGAACTACTTCGAGTCGACTACAGACCAACGTGTGCTTGCAAGCCGGCCAGCCTCGGTAAACGCCCCAAGTTCGGAGTATGCAGCTTCACATGAAGAATACGTTCGTTGAAACAACTTTTCGCACATGGATGCATGCACGTGGGCTCTATATATATGCACGCACAAAGTCCCGCGCGAAACCCGCGCGAAGGGCGCGTGTGAAGCGCGCGAAGCGCGGGGCGTGCGAAGGGCGCGAAGCGTGCAAAAAGCCGCGCGAAAAGCCGCGCGAAGCCAACCGAAGGGCGCGAAGCGCGCGAAGCGGCGCGAAGCCGCGCGGAGGCGCGCGAGAGGCGCGTGAGATGCGCGAAGCGGCGCGAAGCGCGCGAAGCAGCGCGAAGCGCGCGAAACGCGCGAAGCGCGCGAAGGCGCGCGGAGGCGCGCGAGAGGCGCGAAGCGGCGCAAAGCGCGCGAAGGCGCGCAGAGGCGCGCGGAGCGGCGCGAAGCGCGCGAAGCCCGCGAAGGTGCGCGGAGGCGCGGGGAGGCGCGCGGAGCGCGCGAAGCCGCGCGAAGCGCGCGAAGGCGCGCGGAGGGGTGCCATCAGAGGCGCGCGAGAGGCGCGAAGCGGGCGCGGAGGGGCGCCAGAGGCGCGCGAAGCCGCGCGAAGCGCGCGAAGGCGCGCGGAGGGGTGCCAGGGGCGCCAGAGGCGCGCGAGAGGCGCGAAGCGGCGCGAAGCGCGCGAAGCCGCGCGAAGCGCGCGAAGCGCGCGAAGCCACGCGAAGCGCGCGAAGAGGCGCCAGAGGCGCGCGAGAGGCGCGAAGCGCGTGAAGCGCGCGAAGGCGCGCGGAGGCGCGCGGAGGCGCGAAGCGCGCGAGGCCGCGCGAAGCGCGCGAAGCCACGCGAAGCGCGCGAAGGCGCGCGAAACGCGCGAAGCGCGCGAAGCGCGTAGGTCGCGCCCCAGGGTGACCATACTCAACCTTTTGAATGCGCATTTGTTGCGTTCCTCAGTGATGCAATCGTGCTTATTCTTGGGGCCAGCGTGGTGGCGACAACAGTGGTGTGCAGTACTAGCTGCAAGACATGCAGTCGATCCAAGTTTCTGATTGCATCTGCTGCAGTGCAGTCTGGAATCGGCGATGTGCAGCAGATCCATGCTCCTGACAGGTGTTTGATGCAATCTTCTGTTTACGTGGGGCAACGCCAACTTCGGTGAACAGCAATTTCAAACACTATTCGTGCTCCTCAGTTTCTGGGCAATAACTGGTGCTGCTGGTAGACAGGCGAACCATCCAGCTCAAGTTACTCTTGCCGAGCTTCGCCCTTGTGCTGGCCACCACTCTGTCGCCCAACGGCGGTAGTAGATCGTAACTGTCGAAAGTTAGGAGCTCTGGGGCACTCGACATAGTACTCGAACTGTAAATGTGGTTAGGTCAACAGGGGCTTGTGTTGGTCTCAAGTTTTTGGTTTCGCTATTGCTATTAGTTCTTGCTCCTGCCGGCGTTTTCTGGCTGTGCGTGATAGCTGAACCTAGAGTTGGACCTAGACTTCAACTAGACTAGACCTTAAACTTTAGA